AAATGACATTTTTCCAATCTGCTTTTTTGTGTTTTAAATCTAAGCTGACGCTCCGTTTGTGTAAATTCCAAAACACAACAGGGATTGCTGAGAAGTCTGTCCATATTTCGGTCAGACCTGACCTGTGACAGCATGAACCCCTGACTCCATGGGTAGTTCCTCATTTTACAACAAAGCCAGGCCCCTCAGATCAGGCGTTTTTTATTTTACCATTTATCTCTGAGTAAATGATTAGCCCAAAAGCCTAAACAAGTACCAGTCTGCATCTACCCATCCTTCTATCTATTAAGACCTTCAGAAAGTTGCCTTTAATCATCTAACCACCAGAACCAACACCAAAATAACGTTTATATGCACTGATTTAGTCTGGATTCAGGACACACCATTACCTGATGGAGGGATGAAATTCTTCTCGTCTGTCTGCCTCCTCTTCCTGCTGCTCAGCATCAGTCTCAGGTCTGTATGGACCACACCCTGTTACAGATACAGAACTACCGCTGGGGTGGAGGGGCTGCTCCGGACCACTTTAGGTCATAACTGAGATATATACTGTATATATTGAATAAATACTTTACTGGAAGGCCGTTAATGCTTTATGCTATTCAAGTACCTCTTTTGAATAATGATAACAAAATATTAGGGTAAAAATCTCTTATCTTTATTAGCAAATCGGACAAAAAGAGCTCTTCATGCAAAGGTCTTGTGCAGCCGTCCCTCCCCCATGTTCTCCTCCACAGGCCACTAGCCTGAAACATTTCAGTCGCTGCGAAGTCAGAAAAATTATGCAGACATCCCTGATGTGAGCATGACCTATTTCAAAGCTCTGCAGAAGCCTGCAGACTGCCACCCCGGCTCCCGCTGCAGCCCCCCCCCCCCCGCCCCCCCCGCCCGCTCTGCCGGCAGCACACGCTAAATATTGATGAGAGGCTTATTTTATACTTTGTTTATGCCTTTTGTGCATGTTATGTTTTATGTTTGCTACATCTTCAGCCTCATCATCACAAACGTCCACTCCTCATGTGGGATCCCAGAGGTTTAAGGTTTACCTTTGATAAAACCTCTCTGTCTGACCAGCTACTTGTCTGTAGTTACAGAACTGTGCAGCTACACATCTTACATATGACCTTTTACATTACATTTCAGATGAACTTTGGAATGATCTGACAATGCCACAAATGAAGAAGCACATCCCACCGCTTTAAGAGAAGTAAACGCTGTCACTAAATGTGGAATGATGCGTTCACCATCAGAATCCCAGAGCTCTCTGCCGCTAGATATCTTAATCCTAGTTAATCAGCTCCATCTGAATCCTAACGAGGTGCCCAGTTCATCAACACAAGAAACGTCAGCTCCCATCTCCACTTTTCATCCACACAACCGAGGATGTCCATGCACGAGCTGCCAGAGTTCCTCTGGATGATGAACGCAGGAAAACTGCATGAACTAAAAGAGCATGGATCCCGGAGGAGAGTGTGTGGTTGTGTGTCTCTGTGGCCCCTGTGACCTGTCCAGGGGGGACCCGTTTTCAGCTAATACCCCGTTAGGAATGAGCGGTACAGGAAATGGACGGATGTCCTGGTTTCTTACACTATAGACCATTCAAGCATCGCAGCACGTCACTGCCATTAGCCAAGTCATCTGTAGGGTGCTATGTGCAAATCAAATTTCCCTAACAGCCAGCATTATCTTAGCACACAGAGCAACACATGAGCCATCCTGTGTGCACGTGTGTGACAGGCCGTTAGCTGGAGTGGTGATTCCTGACGCTGGGGGGATGGACCCTCAGGGACAGCCGGGATGGACTAAAGGTGTGTCCCCTTTAAACTTCTAAAGGTGTGACTGTTTGTTATGGATGTTATCTGTAGCTTTTAGTATTAATTGGATCATATTTCTGCTTTTGTTCTTAGTTTTGTTCAGTTGCTACAGAAGTAACCTATAAAACTTAAGCCTTTTGTCTAAACTTTCCACACAGATTCTGATCTTCAGCTTCCAGTGCGTCGGTTGGATCTTTAAAGGCACGGAATTTAAAACTCTACTTTTATTGCCTAAACAAGTCTCATGCGCTGTACTACAAACAATTATGTTAAATGTCCATTTGAGGGAAAATCTGGCGCTTTTTCCATAAATACTGCTCTGCACAGCAGGTCAAAGTTAGGGGACTGAACTTAGCACTTAAACGTAGCAACCTGAAACGCACAAATTCTGAAAAGGCTGCTGCACCTGAGGCTTTATAGCGGAGCACATTTTATTCAAATAAGCAAACACTGTTCAAAACAAGGAGGTGAGGTAATAAGAAAGCGACAGATTCCAGAGGGTCTGTACATTTATTGTGAAAAGAACCACAAAATTAGGACAAAGAGTATAGTACATACAGTAGAACTTTCAAAAAGACATTTGAGGCACTTAGCTGAGGAAGGATTTAGCCTGGACAGGAAATGACACCGTCTGTGGTCAACTCAGCATCTGAGAGGGGAAATCTACAACCGTACTGCAGCAGCCTGGAGCCCAGATGTAGACCGCATTTCTCTTCTGGACTCATGGCGTAATCATGTTGAGTCACATATCTGCATACAAGGCTAAGTGATGTCCAGAGTTCTGAACTCATTTGTACTGTCCTCTATACCACTTTCATTTTTCTGACAAAAACTCGAAGCGTTCTTTGGCCTTTAAGCTGAGGAGGAAGGAGAAACCAAATGGATCAGTTAGGAACAACGTGAGGCAAGGCTGGGAGTTCATTTGAGGTTTGCATCCATTTGACTGTGATCTGGGAATTTGTACGAAAAGAAGGAAAATAAAATCAAAGCAGTGGATGAACAACAAATGAATGAATGTAAGGTGCCATTCAGGGGCTGACTTTACTATCTACTGTCTTCTTTAAGCTCCACAGTCAATGACACCAAAAAAACAACTTAGTGAAGAAAAAAAACACTCAAAAAGCTGCTCATAATGAATCAGAATAGAAGTATGCAATTCAAACCTACAGTGTAAGTTATCTAGACTGAGATCAAAGTCCCCGTGAAGAATTTTTAGAACTGGACAGTTTTCCTCACAAATAAAAAATAAAAAAAAATAACGGGAAACATTTGAACAAATCCAACTTAAATTGCCAGCTAAGGCTAAATTTAAGAATAGTTTTCATGGATTACGTTTCTCACCTTTTAAACTGGCCTAAAAGGGTGGGTCACATATCCCAACTGCTTAATGGAAGTAACCTATTCTGTCATGCAGCCATTTTAGACGTCCCCTCCCCAACGAACAAACTAATGTAACAACTTAAATGTATGTACAGCGTAATGACAGCCGGCAGGTTAGTGGTGCTCACCGCCACCAAGCAGGGGGTCTGAGGAGCCCCACCCCGAGGCCTACCACGCCTACACTTCTAAAAGCATTAAAAACAACTACCGAGTCCCCTCCAAAGAGATGGATATCAACATTATTAAATAGAATGTTTAAAAAGATACAAAAACGCCTTTTCTATTCTATGCTGGAAACCAGGATTCAGCGCTGTATTACTCAAAGGCTAATTCAAGTAAAAACAAGCAAAGAAAACAAAAAAAAACTAACTAAAAACAGATGGCGCTTTACATTTTTTTTACATACAACCACCCAATGTAAATGTGTACAGTGTATAGTTCCATTAACATGATCCAGGATTTGGGTATGATCCAGCCCCCCCTCTCCTCTCTGGGCCTTAGGCAGCATCTCAGAGGCTAACGGCATGGTTCAGTTCCCCGGATGTGGTGGTAGTGGCCCGTTTGTAGTGCTTGGTAATCTGAACTTTAAGGCCTCAGACCTTTCTTTGTTGCTGTGGTTCTGACGTCCCTGCTGAGAACTGCAGTCCAATAACTAACGGCATAATACTACATTGTGCATCTATCAGATCATGAGGAGTTATGACCCAAAATGAAAGAAAAAAAGAAGACATTTATGAACATGGCCAGGTATTGGAACGGTTGATGTTCAAATGATCAATTAACCAAATCAATTTCTGTTAGATTCAACAACAGGTGATTCTTAAAAACCTGCAGACAGTTTTTTTGTGTACTTCACTTAATTGCTTAGTTAGAAAACACTCCATCTGACACTAAAATGGTGTGGTTGACATTCGATCACACCGGTGTTTTCTTGTTTTGGAGCCCTTTCAGTTGAGGAACCGTTTGATTAGAGAGGTGTGGCAGGCCGTTACAACAGAGGAGAGCAGACTGAAACGCACAGAGCCACATCACTACGCAGCCCTCTGTACTCACAAACTGCTGCGTCCCACCAGAAAAACTGCAGCACCTTTAGATTTCACATCCCGGCACAGAAGAAAACACGTCGCGTTACCTTACGAGTGCATAAATGAGTGAGCCGTCTTACTCAAATACTGAAGGCATGAAACAGCATAGCTTAGCATATACAGTTCAGATGGTTGTCATTCTGGAAACACTTGGCAGACTGAGGAGGTTACTGTGGAAAGATGCAGCTCTTGATTACACCATTGCAGGCTACAGATTAACTAAATCTTAACAAGATAACCAACAATAAGGGATAATACATTTATTTTCTCAATATTAACAAATTTAGTGAGGTTTATTAGCATCTGGCCTAATGTGTAGTATAATAAAATATACAAAAGGCCCTAAATTAGACCTCTGCTTTTTCCCGATCAATCTAAAGTAAAAAAAGAAAAAGAAAAGAAAAAAAAAATCACCTGAGAATTTGATCCATCTCTGCACACTTTCGCTTGTATGGTCTCGTTTCTGTTACAACCCTTAACAGTGTCCCATATTCACAGTTACAGCTCACGTGTGCATGCATGTCATAAACCATGCCTGCAGTACATAAATTACCACAATATACACCTGATAAAAGATAAACTATGATTCGGTTTAGATGTATTTACAAGAACAAATGATTATACAAATTGACAGTGAGGGGTCTTTAAAAATATACAACTTTACTGTTCCACTATACAATGTCGAAGCACCAGTCCATTTAAAACGAGTGGAAAACTCTTAGAACAGTTTATTCCAGTCTCTAGTAGCCTCCATGAGATGCCTCTGGCCATGGCCAACCCAGTCCTCCTGGTTGTTGAAGAGCCGACCACAGAACCAGCAGTCGAACACCACCGATCCTTCTTTACTACATGATACAGTTTCAACTACCTCATATTTTCTTTTGCTTTTTTTCCTTAGCTTCAGTTTGAGAAGGAAGTGTTCCCGAACAGCACTCTGAAGTGGCCTTGGTCTGGGATTATCCCCATTAGTCAACAAACCTTTGGTTGATGAATTATTCCCAACAGTACCGAGGTCTGAGAGTGCTTGGATTGTTTTTGGACACAGAGAGACCTTCGTGACAGCACCTTTGTACCTGTTGACTATCCTCATTATTTGGACAACTTCAGGAATGTCAGCATCTGGATGATTGAGTACCACAACAGGTTGGTATCTGCGAGGGCATTTGACCTGCTGGACCAAGCTGAACGGGGCAAGTCTTAATGTCCTTTCCACCTCTTTGGCAATAGGCTTCCATAAGACGGTAGTTTCTTTCTCAGACTGTGCTTTACTTGACAGTCTTCTAGCCTTCTGAGCGGTTGCTGGAAGCTCATCGAATAATGCTTTCCTGCGCCTCTTCCTTTGGCTTGGAGGCCTTATTGGCCTTGGGGCCAACAACAGTTTCTCTGCTTCACACGGTTGAGCCTTAACATTAATCTGAGGGCGTGAGATGTTGGAAATCTTGACATCTTTTTGTACAGCATTTTGTATGCTAATCAGTCTCTTTACTCCACTTGAAGTGCTCGCATTATTTTTGTTGGATGACACCAGAAAACACTTGGTTTGGGGTGAAGTGGCCAAAAACAAAGGTTGACTGCTTGAGGTGGGGGTGCTACTTGTGAGAAGGCTGGAACTGGGGGTAACGATTTTTAGTATTACTTTATTTCCGGAGCTTTCACTGGTTTGATTGCTGGTGGTTCCACTCTTTAAGTCCTGGTTGTTTAAAAATAGGCCTGATTTGTGTGGAGATATGTATCGGAGCAGAAAAGCCTGGCGACCTGTTTGCAGCGTGCTGGGTTTCTCTGCAGAGCTCACAGGCATTGCTAGAACTGGCCGGGAGCTCAATGGGAACTGGGTACTTGCTAGTTTGACAGTTGGTGTACTTGTAGTTTTAGCAAGTTGAACAGACCTTTGCACCAAGTAGCATGCTGGTTGTGTCTTTGCCGTTTTATCAACTGGTGCACTTGAAAGAAGTACAGGACCCTTCAAACCTGGACTGTTGATGAGATAGTGATTGGAGGTGGCATTTACTCCTGGTTTAATAGCAGAGAAAATTGTATTCCCCTTGTCTACAGCTTGTGGCTTTGCTGTTGGCATGCCTAATGTCTTGGAATTTTGAGAAAGACCTGTGACATTACTTGATTGTTCCACCGCTGGTTGTAAGAAAGATACATTGATCTGGGGATTTGTAGTGTTGGTTATTAGTTTGAAACCAGGGGAAGCCTTGGCTTGTGAAGGAACATCAAACTGGCTGTTAGTTGCCCTCAAGAGTACTGGCTGCTTGCCCTCTGGTAACTGAAGAATTCTCAGGGTTGTTTTTGTCTGCTTTAAAGAATTGCAGTTGGCAATTGAGGATCCTGTCCTTTCTTTGTTAAGCTGTTGGGTAATAATTTCATCAGAATGTTCTTCTACAAAACTGCCCAAATTAGTTGAACAGCTCTTTGTTTCTGGCTGCTTTGTGGAAATGGGAATACTCTCTTCCTCAACTTTGATAATATTGAAGTCATCGAGAAGTGAATCTCCATTTTCCTCATCAAGAGGATCATCAACACCAACTACGTTTTCATTGATTAAGTCATCAGCTGAACTTTCTTTGACATGTTCTGAAGATTCTCTCGATGTCGGGCTGAAAGGGGATGATTTACAAATGAATTTACTGTCTCCAGAAAACTCTGAATTACCGTTTAAGTTCTGGGTAGCATCAGGTAAAGTGCTAAATGCTTCCTTGGAATAGTTATGAAAGGTAAAGACTTCCTGGTTTGGTGCATTGCATGTGCTTTTTCCCATGCAAAATGCACTCTCTCTGCTGCCAACTGATGAGGCTTGTAATGACTGCACAGGTGTTTCAAGACTGTACTTGTCATTTCTATGTTTCATATCAATATGCAAACACTGAAATTCTTCTGGAGCAGTATCCACAGCATTGAAAGCCGAGTTCCCTTTGTTTGTCTCAAATGGAGCGTCGTTGCTACCGGCCTGAGGAGACTCGTGTGAGGATCCATTGTCATTAACAGCTCTGAAGACAGGTCGGGAAGGCGAGGTTTCCTGAACCGCTGTTGAAGTAGCTGATAAAGTAGTGACCTTAGCAGCACGCACTGTTGTAGGATTACTAAGAGACGGACGATGGCTGACTGCATCCGATTTTCCGTTTAAAGAATCCAGGTTATTGCCACACTTACTTTCCTCTGTTCCACTTTTTGTTTTGTTTAAATGCATCTGACCATCTTCATGACACAACTCACTTGTTACTGGATGTAACGCAGCTTCTGGTGTCAGTGATCTGTTGAGTAACATATTTGTTTGTTCATCATCATCATCCTCGTCATTTGTGTGTAGAGTGGAGTTAAAGTTGTAAACAGAGGTTTCCTCCTCCTCAACCTTGACTTTTACAGCCATAATATCGTCTTGATCCATTTGAGGGCAAGACTCACTTGTTGATGAAACAGTTAAGCAATTTGACACTGAGCTCTTATAATCAGAGCATTGCCCATTCTCAGTGGAGACTTTACCTTTACTCAACTCTGGATGCGACACCAAGGGCCCTCCACTGTCCACGATGGAATGGTTCTGAGCGGGCAAGTCTTGCTTTTCCGCAGGTATTACTTTGAGAACCAAATGTTTTTTGCCATCAACCATCTTGAATCCCATCACTTTGGTCGTACAGTTTGGGGGAAGAGAGATTTTGTTCTTAACCATCACAACAGTAAGTCCGTTAGCATTGATGTTACTTCCAATGTCGGAGCTTAAGAAGCTGTCGCACTCCTGCAGCATTACTGGTGCCGAATGTTCTGTGCTAGAGACATTTTTGCTCCAACTCCTGCTGCCCTTTTTCACTGCACTCCCATATGTATAGGGACCGTTATCCTCCACGGAGTGCTCTGGTTTGACTAGTCTGCCATTTTGGTTTGGTACATTCCAAGAAAGATGGTTGCTCTTTGACATTTTCTGAGCCTCTTGTGACTCAGCACCTTTTTTAGACTGTTTTAAGTTTGCAGATGAATTTGCTAAAGAGCTATTGTCTTCAATAGCCTTCCATGCACACCTCCTCTCAGCCTCCTCCTTATGAACGCTTGCGGTGTGTTTTTTAAGGTTCTCACTTCTTGCTGCACCATATCCACATATTTGACAAGTGAAAGGGAAAGTATCCGTGTGAGCCTTCATATGATTCTGGTGATCCTCTTCATTCAAACTAATATGTCTGCATTTGGTACACTTCCAATGACTCTCATTATGATGATGGATGTGTTGGACAAATGTTCCTGCGTCAACAGTTGTAAACTCACACCAATCACACTTGAATTGTCCATTTGTACTGTGACACATGATGTAGTGTCTTGTAAGCAAAAGCAGAGAGTACTGAATGCCATTGTTGCACAGCTCACAGGTAACCAAAGTATTCCTGTGCTCAATTCGATGGCGCTGAAGAGCAGGGAACTCATTTGTGACAAAATCACACAAATCACAAGGATATGTGGGAAGGTTTCCCTGATGAGCAGCTCGGAAATGTTTAAGGAGATCATTGGGGCTAAATGTGAAGTCATCTTTGCACACTGAGCATCCAAAACTCAGAATTTTTCCAGAAAAAACAGCCCCCTGTTGAACTTTACAATGAGTTTTTAGAGTTGGTTTATCCTTTTTTGTACAACTCCCATGTTCCATTATGGTAGATTCTTCTGCATTACTGAAGAGTGGTCCATCTGTTACTTCTCTGAAATGCTTGTATACAAAGTCTTTCACCTTTTCCTTTTCATCTGTTATTACTGATATGCTGCCGTTTTTTGCAGAATCAGGAGGTAATGCGAGGTCTTCCATGATTACAAATCTGCAGATTTCTGGAAGAACAGACATTCAAATGGATTTTTCATTAATACAAGCAGAACGACTTCTACTGCATGTCTTTGCAGTTACTACTACGATAGCAACGTACCACACACATTATTGCTGATTTCTTGCCCAAAAGCATTACATTTTTGCAGCCATCAAGCCTCCATAATTCCACCGTCTTCTTAAAATCACAAAGACTTTACACCATCTTAAACGTTCATTTTAAGATCTAACTTTAAAAAAATAATAAATTGTCATTGTATTCGTAGTCTAGACAGATGCGTATATTTGGCCAGAAAATCCTGTATATCTACTATAAAAAAAGAATCACTCACTTATTTCAAAATATGATATAATGTGGTATCTGCCATGATTTAGCTTTGTCAATTAAAAAAATACCCTTAATTAGGAAGTATCAAGACATTCGGAATCCTTATCAAATTTGTATGCCCTGCAACCTCATTTCAAAGCAATTATTATAGGAATTCTGATGAGATTTACAGAGGAATGGGGAGACAAAGCAGCAGCCAGGTGCTACTAATCACATGCATCAGATTCATTGATCGGCGGTATTTCAAGGTGTTTAAAAAACATTTAATTGGCACTGGAACAACTGAGGGCTACATAAAACCTACACAATGCTCTAAAATAATTGGCATTAGCTCATAAAGATTTTACCCTTATGGCTTTTTCTCTGGACTTCACTACACAGGATATCACTGCCAGTAATATCATATAGCCAGTTAATATATATATATAGATATATAGATATATATATGTGTGTGTGTGTGTGTGTGTCACATCTTCCTGCACTCACTAACTCAGCAGGAGAAAATCAGATTTGTTGTTACACTGTTTGGAACAGTGATCATTTTTGATTTTGTGACAAAATTGGTCTTTGGTGACAGAATTTTGTGACCAATCAGAATTGGTCACAAAATGTAAACAGACTTAGCTGGAGGCCGTTACCTGTTCTCCTTTGGTAAAACCTCAACCATCAGTGCAAGAGGTGTCTGGCCAGCTGTAGTGTGGAAGCTAAGCCTGTGAGACAGAGACAAAGAGGAAATAAGCCACAGCTTTATGTTTTATTTCCATTTGAAAGACAATTGAATAAATGTGTGTAACAACATGCATTTCAGTGGCAGCTGGTTGTTGAAGGCATGTTTGAACCACAGAGTTGTGAAGCGAGACACAAGCTCCTGGACGGCTCCATCATTTCTGAGATTTCCAGAGAAGCTGTATGCCTGTGGTGTCCTCTCCTCCAGTATGACGGAACTAAACGGAGGCAGCACACGTTGGCTCACTGTGTGACCAGCTCAGACACTTCAGCAGCCATTTACGGTATTTTCTGCTAAGCACACAGTTTGGGTGCTACTCAGCGAGTAACTGCCAGCAGGTCAGTGAAGACATTAGAATATGACACTAAATGGACCATCAGAAGAAGTTCAATAACTTGTAATCTTACTAAAAGATCCCTGTTCCGCCCAAAACTTTCCCATCACAGCTGCTTAAAGAGGGTAACTACTACACAGATCACCTGACCGGCTAATCTAAGAGCTCTTTTCGTTGATAAAAATATAGGCCCCTCTCACTTTCAAAGATTTTACCGTCAAATTCAGTTGAATTATTAATATGCTAATGGTTTTTCCCTTTTTCACACAATGTAGCAAACAAAACACTTCATGCTGAAACTGTCAGAACTGATCCAACAGAAACAGACAGATTTACATCTAAAATAATAATAAAAAGGAGCTCCAGCGTAGTTCCCTTTTCACATGTTAGCAAATGTTGTGTTTTTCCATCCAAAAACTGGTTTTGATGAGTTTCCCTTTGCAGACACAAAAAACACCTCTCAAGGCTTTAAAAGTTTTATTTTAAAATGACACTTTAGATTTAGATTCATTATTTTAAAAGGCAGATCTAATTATTTCATGGAACATTTAATCATTTAATTGCATATCTCATAATTCCATTACATATTTAATTATTTATTCATGTATTTAATTATTTAACGATATATTTAATTATTCAGTGATAAATAATTTAATGATGTTTTTACAATTTTTTCTGATACATTTAATGAATTATTGGGAGATTTACAGGTATGTATTTCATGATAAATTTAATAATTTCATGATATACTTTTCGCTTTTGGTTCTACATGTAAACCCTGATGATTCTGTCCAGCTTCCTAACTGATCACAAATGAGGCTAACAGATATGAACACCTGTTCTTGGCCCCTTGAACACTAAAGCGAAAATACACTGACTTTAAAGTAATTTAACTGATTCTGTGTTTTAATCTCGATAGCGCAACAAAAAAGTTGACAACTTTTTGGTGAAATATGAAGGTCTGAGGCAGTACCTGGGGGTGGTGGACTGTCCAAAATAATAACTACAGCTATGTTGACCAAAAGTGTGGATTCTAGAGTGAAAAAAGAAATGTATTACACTTTCATGTACATGCCTAACAATCCCTTTGTGTCCATACCGGGCTCCACTCCAGCCAAAGAACATCTCATCAACACAAAAGTGGTCCTCATCCAGCTAAAAATCACAGCATCTCTAAGAAAACTAGAGAAATGAAAACTCAATCGAAAAACTAAATCATCACTACACTTTCACATTGTGTTAATGAAATGATTTAAACATTTTTAAATGTGGAGGGGGTGGAGCTGGTTCTGAAGCAGTCAGAAAGGGCTGGATATACTACAAAAACTGTGTTTTGACTTGTGAATCCTGCAGGTGCCCCTGCAGATCCTGGCCCACAGCAGGGGGAGCATGAAGAGCTCCCTACGTGAGACACCTCTGCTCATAATCACACCCAGCTCGGGACTGGGGGGTCACACCAAGGTCCGAATGGTTTTCAAAGTTTGGGAAGGGCTGTGTGTTAAGATGGAGCAAAGATCCACCCATTAATAAACACTTCCATCTGTTTTATATCCCCTCTTAATCCACTTCATGCAGGGACGGGGGCTGAAGGCCGCCCCAGCTGTCAGCAGCACCAAAGCACAGTTTAAACCAAACTCTGGAGTAAAGAACAAAGACTGCATAGGCTTTCACATGCTAGCTTTAGCTGACGGCATCTTCGTTAGGCTTTTCTGTTGTATTTTGAGCGTTCGGAGGCAGCATCAGGGTCCTGAGAGCCTGCCGGTGCAGTGGTGGAGGTTTCTCCTGGCAGATGGGGCGTTAGCGCCATCCTGTGGTGGCAGCGCCACACCACCACTAGCCCCCCCATCAAAGGAAAATGTTTCCATACTTAAATAAGTACAATGGACTGAGTATTCAACACGTTGAAATCTTTTTTTTTCTGACCGGTTTCACACAGGTTGTAATGAGTTTTCCGAAATCCATATTCACCAGTCATCTAATGAGCAACAAATAGAAGCACTCAACTAAATATCAGAATCTACTGACCTGATCACAAAACCTCTACACCTAAAACAACAACATGAACTCAAAGGTGAGGGATCAAACTATTTTTTGCTCATCATATATGATCAGCCTGCAGCTGGATATGGAACCATGAACGGGTCGGTCCGCTTCAAGAATTTATCCAACAAACTTCAGTCTCAGTGGTGCCTCCAACACCTGGAACCCAGGGAGCTGAAGGCATCAGAACTCTGACAGCTGGGAACATGTAAGCTCAAATTCAAGCGATGTAGGCTCTTCACCCGACAAAGAAATGTGAGAAAGAAATCTGTCAAATGTGAGAAAGAAATCTGCAGATTACTGTTGTGCTACAATCCCAAAAGAATCGTCCTCTGGTGTTTTAGATGTCCTCTCTTCCTAAGCAGAGGACTTAAACAGAGCTTAGAAACACAAGTGGATACTTCACACACATGGATACAGTTTAGAGAGGGCTAAATGAAAGGCTGTGAAGGACCTGATCTCCATCATAGGTTAAAGGAGTGGATAAACAAACAGAAACATGTGCAGCATGAGTTTGTTTCTGCAGTACAAAACAGGTATCCTGCTCTCAAGAATCCTCTTTATATTTGCAGAAACTGTGCACAGGATTCTTTCTAATGATCTTTCTATGCAGACATCCATCATCTCAGCAGTTCAAACAGAAGCCTGACGCTGGTAAAGCCAACAGTTTTCTGGACCTGACAGGTCCAGACCTGGACCAGGACCAGCACACGAATCAAGCCGGTGGAAAAGAGGAAAAGTTGTCTCGTCTTAAAGCGGTAAACCAGAAGCAGCCTTGTAAATGAACGCCAGACAAGATGCAGAGAATGGAAGAAATAGAAACCTCTTCCGAGATGAGATATACTTTCATTTAATTTGTGTTTACTTTCGCGACTGGAGCGACTTGCTCCAGAGCAGCTTAAGTTCAGGAAAGGCAAGCAAAGCCTGCATCAGTGGGAGAACTACAGGCTGGACTCAGACACCGACACACGGATAACGCTCACATACTACCGCATACTGCCCGTTTCTGCCGCTGCTCCTGAAAAATACGTGGTGTGTTCCGCGAAAAATTTAATGTCCCCGGAGTTTAATTACCAGTTATTTTACACCAAAATAAAGCCCCCTCCCACGCGAAGATATTCAAAGTTAGAGAAAATAAGTTATTTCTTACTCTGAACTCGCTGGAAGTTAAGGTTGCGTCCCATCAACGTCCAACATTGTAAGTGACGATTAAGGTTGAAAAACATACACACAACAGAAACATTTGCCTTCCTTCTCTCCTCTCTGTGGAACCACAGCGACGGCGGCCATGACAGTCCATCCGGGTACTGTTGTGTTCTTGAAACTCGTGTCGAAGCGGATGAATATGTATTACTTGTCAAACATCACATTTGTGACCTGGGTCACATTTTTATTAAATAAATTCTAGCAACTGTCATTTTTACTGAGGAGTAAATGTGTTCAGTTCGACAAGAAGACCAAACCTGTCGGTGTTGTTACAGCATAAGCCCTACGTCATCTTTTGCCCTTGTGTGTGTGTGTGTGAGCAGGGCGGAAGAATAAGCAATGGCCAGTAATGGCGGATATTCGCTATTTCCTCCTTCATGCGAGTGTGTTAGTCGCATTTCCTTCGCATATAAATCTCGCACTGCTTTTAACATTCTTATCAGGCGGCCAAACATCTTTTCCGCGGTGTGTGTCAGACTTTGTCTCGTTAACATGCAACCAGAAACACAATATTTGTGAATCTGGATACATTTGACATAGAGGAAACTAAGTCAAATTGTGAACTGAGCCTTTTTCACAACCTCCACACACCTGAAATGATGGAGAGATTCTCACAGAATGCCCCTGTGATAAACCACTATGTGTTACCACAACAGTTACAACACACAATAGAAAATGTTGCAGACCCTGAACAATCTAAGCAACCATAACTGTGTTGGCTAAAATAAGAATCTCCAGTTTCCAGATGAACACATATCTTAAGTGATGTATTACTTATTCAGCAATAGAAACTGTGGTGCAGTGTTATACAGAATGCAAACACAATCATTTAACCATTTGCTATATGCAGCCATAATGTATGGTAGCAAGTGTAGTTGGTACAATTATTGGTTTTGTTTTGTTTGTTTTTACACATTTGTCAGACATCCCCGTCCTGATACGATCATCTTAAAGAATAAAGTGGACATTTCATAATTTGATTTAAGACACGGTGTGCATGGCACTAACAGTTTTTTTTATATGTGGAAAAGTACCATATGGCATCTCTAAGTGATAAATATAAAGACAAGAAGATAATCTAGTAGTCATATCTATGGTGTTACAGTGTGATCCCTGTGTGAGATAAGGCATCCTGTCAGATGAAGCAAATACAGGTTCATTAATCATTTTTGCATTGGATTTTAAGTAAGGCACCCTGTAGTTACTGTCTGACCTGCACCAGGTCTAAACCAAATGATTGTATGATTTTAACTAGAACTATAAATTAACTATAAATGAGGCTGTTGTCAACCATGAAATAAAATCAATCTTTCTGTACAAAAATCTTATTAGGCTGAATCTTTATTTGTCTGTGCTGCTTCTATTGTGAAATTGTGGGGCACTTTTTTTAATGTAATATTTTTTGTGAACTTAGAACATGCATTGTCTTATTTCTCAACCAAAATGCAAAATATCGAATCCTCCACCTGAAGAAGACTACACTGATACCTCATCCGTGTTGTTAGACTCATCAGATACCTCCTTTAACTATGAATGAGTTGTTCTGAGAGAAAAACAGAAACACATTTTTTCAGTTAAATCAGAATTGCATGCATGCTATAGAAAGACTGGTGAGAGGAAAAAGAAATAAGGAAAAAGAGCTACAGGGGGAATCAAAGTCTGTGTCTGGAAAGTGCTCTCATAATAAGAGAATATGCAAGAAAGAGGCATCTTTTGACATCTGAAGGTGCTGTTTTTTGTCTTTTTTTGGCCCGGTAATGGAACTGTGACCTGTCCATGGGGCATCCCACTGGGAAAGGCTCCCCTGGATTTCAATACCAGACCCATTCTCTTTAAAACCGATAATGAATAATAACTGCACAAACAATAGTGAAAAATATATTTTACTAAAAACTAATGACATCTAAAATAATGATGACATCTCTGTTGTTTTGCTTTTAAATAAAGAATGCTCACATGAAGACTAATTGAATGTGTTTGACTGGTATTTACTAATGTTGATGTTACTCCCGTCCCAGCTTTCTCTGATGGCTGATGCAAATCTATTGAATTATTTAAGATTTCTATTGTTTATGAAAACAAAACCATCATAAGCTGGCCTGATTTAGCAGGATAATTAAAAAGGTTTAGCTTACCTTAATTGGCATGGGGAGAAACAGTGTTATGTGCCGGGAGCTTCAAACCAACATGAAAAATTCAGAGACACTTTTATTAATTCTGAAACACCTTCAGAAAGCTTTAGACTAATTTAAGTCCAGAAACAAATTTACATTTAAAAAATTTCACCAAACCTCAACCCTATTTTCTTTCCTTTGCAACTTAAGAAATAACAGACTCATAAAATTGACATGAGATGCTTTCTTTGAAGGAATGAGCACATGTTGAATATTGGAACAGATTAGGGACCTAATCTTGGTTGTTGTGTGGCCCTTGGAGCAGAGACTCAGGGAGAATTAGTTTGAGGCTGGAAGGGTGGAGGCCACATAGGAGGAGAGGCGGGGGGCTGAAAGGCTGTAGAAGAAACCATGGAGGTGGAAGCAGAGGTTCTTCTCACTCCCCCTCCAGACTCACTCTGAATTTAATGAAAAAGTGGCCAGAAAAGTGAAGAGCTGTGACAGAGAGGGCTTCTGTGGCACAAACTCGAACGCTTTGCCAGTTTTGTGAGTTGGAGGACTGCAAGACCAGTTGTAGCTCAAATGAAGACATCAATTATAGAGAATATGAACAGTTGGGACTGTCAAGGTAGATATTTATATCACCAAGGAATGTTATGGGTCAGCCATGTTTACGGAAAGATGAGAGCAAAATGTCTAATTCACCTGGAAAAGCCTTGAGCTCTCCTGGTGAGTGACACATAACGATCATACACATTTTGAATGGTGCAGCTACTAAGATGGCGGGGTGTTCAAAGGTGTTGTATTTGGCATTAGGCATTAATTGGTTGCATTTCCATTTTTTGGAAACTATCAGGCCAGATTTAGCATTAGGGTTCCCCCACCTCTCCCAGATGTGTGAGAGGTGTGGGGAGAGTGTGTGTGTTTTTTAGCTTTGTCTGGTTCTGAGGGCCAGGAGGTGGACAGGTGTTTGGCCTAAGCAGTGCTGAGGTCAGCTTTATGCCAGCTGGACACAACAGGAGAGGGACTGAGGGACGCTTTACAAACAGGCTGGAGTGAAAGCAGATATAAGGACAGCTTGCCTTGTTCAGCGGCTTTTTCTTGGTGGAAAGGCAGGTAGACACGCAGATCTTCACCCGAGAATGTCATCAGACGAAAGGGCTGACACTACTGGACAACAGGTTTCATCCACAGATGGGTAACGGTCACTTACACAACAGCAGACGTGATTTTAGTGGAGAAGCTCAGAACTGCTCAGACAGACAGAGCCCAGGCTCCACCTGTGGCCTCTGTTAGCTTTCTGTGAGCTGCAGTGAGTTTTAGAGCTCTTGCTCTGGTGTCAGCACCGGACTGTTTTTGATAATGTAGCTAATGATGATGTTGGGTTTTGGACAGGCCAGTGTGCACGTGTCAGTGCTCGTTTGAGTTTCTCAGTTAGTTTGTGAGCATGCTCAGACACATGCTGAATCAGAGGGAACTTGGTCGTGACAGAACTGAGGTCATTAACTTGGCTCCCTGTTTCTCAGCAGATAACCCCGGTGAGGGGTCACCCTTCCTTGTTCTGGCCCTGATGGCTGTTTCCTGATATGAGGGATTTTCCTCTTTCCCTCCTCGCTCTGCAGAGGACACAGATGCAGACACTTTGCTGCATCTGTAGGTTTCTTTGGCTGGTGAGCATGCTTTAAAATATTAACTCTGTTTGAAATGAATAAATCTTAGTTTTTGTTTTATTACTTTCAGACCTCCCCCTGCATGACGATGTCCTTTATCCAATCAGTGTCACGTTTGGAGAGGCCGGAGTCTTCCAGGTATCCCACCTGTTGCACTCCTGGATTGAGGAAGCATTCCTCATCGGGTGTTTCTTTAATGTGACATTAGTAATGCCTAGTGTTCACATTTAATTGCGTCTTCCTGTGTTTGAATTCCAGTCGACTGCTTTTCACTCCATCACAAAGGAAGACCAGCCTGACTCAGCATGGCACCCAGCTCCCACTACTCCATTTTTCTGACTGTCAGAATGTTTGCAGGGCTGGTATTGTTTTTCTCACGTTATTTTTCATCCACACACCCCATTGTTTTCTGTACTGGCTCCAGTTATCTGGAAGCGTAAACAATGCAACGGTCATCTAGCAGGTCAGTTTGCACAGTGAAATCCCGCCATGTATATGATCAGACTCACTTTCTCTGAATACCTCTGGGGACAAAACTTGCTGTTGCTTTGCACTTTGTAGCTGTTCCACTTATACTTCCATTTAATTTAAGTTCAAGTTGAAAAAAGGCAGGGGTTTCATTCACAAAACAGACAGCAGGGGGCTGTATAGTTTGGGCTAAGACGATGGAAAAACAGGAATCTGAACAGCATTAGAATCCCATCTATAGCTGTAAACTGAAGGCAGAAGGCAGATGTAACACTGAGGCATCACATGACTGACAGTAGGAAATATTTTGAAATGAAATCTGAGTGAACTAGTGCTCACAAATCTTTATTGCTCCTCATACCGTGCACTCAATGTCAGATCTTACCATTCATTGCAATAGTCCTGGTAGCGAGACTGTATAGCATTATTTAACACTGTGGATATAGAGCAGCTGTATAGCGTGTACAGACAGTATGACGACTTTAGAGCTGATGTAATGTACTGAATGTAAGTGTTGCTCTAAACCAAAACATCCTTCATTGACAATGTTTGAGTCATAGAGCCCAACTAGTCAGGCAAAAACGATCAGACCAAACAATAGATGAACGACACGTAATGTCCAGAGAAGTGTCAGCCTCGTATCCATGATGTCCTGTCTTCTGTTTGTCCATACATCACAGCTCGACTCTTTGCTGGTGACCACTTGTAGGAAAATAAACATGCTGAGTCCACTGAATTAAATCTTCATGCCCAGCTTGGCTTTCTGTTGAAAAGACCAATGACAGAGGTTAAAAGAATTATACAGCCTCAGCTAAACATTCCAAATTGTACAAAAGGTCATGCGGTAGGAATTACAGCAGGGAACAGCAAAGACTTCAATGTATAATCAACATATTCGCCAATACTTTTAATATGGTTGAACATGGCCTGACATGCATGAACTGAGCCCAAATCCCTCATATATCTGCTATAATGCTATTTATTTAAAACCCTTCTTTTCATGTACAAAATAATAATTCCTCTCATAACTGAAACTTAAAAACACCATAAGTAGCTAGCTCTATGTACAAAGTAGGTTAAATTCATGGATGGCTTTTTTGATTTGCTGACTAACAGAGAAGTTTGTGTTTGTCACTGATCTGTTTTTAGCGGAAAAAGCTAAATAACTACAGTAAATGGTTAAAATCCTTAAATGTGGGAAACAATATCAGTGACAGCAAAAGGGGATTATTCAGATGCCATTATCTGAAAAAAAAAAGTTCTTCTATTTTTTAGTATCTCCTGATTATGTGTTGTGTCTTAAATGCACAGGTTTAACACATAACTTTTATTTTCATGTTTTATTAAGTGTTCCGTGCTTGTAAAAGCTGTGCGCACATCTGTGGGGCAGATGTTGCTCGTCTATGGAGAGCATTTGTCAATAGGAAAGTCGGTACTTTGAATCTCAGTTAAACTGGAGTGCCTGCTGAGGCTGAGACACTCCACTATGGACCAGGACATCCATGTCCATCCTGGACAGGTGGCCAGCCCATCGCAGGCCACACACACACACACACTCACACTCACTCTCACTCTTAGGGCAGTTTGCTCTCAGCTGCTTAACAAAGCAGAAATCAAAGGGAACTTACGATGCCAGAGGCGTGTTTGGGCTTAACGCTGTAGGAGGCCTTCTCCTTGGCCTGCCGGAAACTCTCCTCTGCTGCTTTTAACCTGAGGAAAAAGGTCATATTTCAGCGTGACAAATAGGGAATTAGCATCCCTGGTTTAATGCAAGTCATCATGGGAAAACAGCTGTTTGGTCCAGAAATGTGCCTAATTAGTAAATGTAAAGAACTAAAATGAACAATTTTAAAGCACATTATGACTGAGAGAAAGAAAAAGGAGGAAAGGCAAAAAAAGAAGAAGAGCATAAAGTATCACTGGAGCAGTAAGTTTCATGCACCTCTCTTTGAGAATAGATTTGTTCTCTTTTTTCCACTGGTCCTTAAAATCGGAGGAGAATTCATGCCAGATGGAAAAGAAGGTGTTGGGAGAAACCTCCTTCTCTCCCGACTTGGGCTTCACCGAAAAGAACACTGTCAGTTCCAGGAACCTGATTGGACACAATAAAACAATGTCTTTATTCTTTTATTGAAAGATTTTGAAAAAAAATGACACTAACTTTACTGACATGTCAGATCAAGAGCATAAAAACAAAACACTTTTCAAAATCATATGAGGAAAATGTTCTTACAGTTTGTGAGTTTTGCTGAGTTGGGCATTCAAGGTCTCCAGTTCACTTTTCGCTAAGAAAGGAGAAGTGATTGAAAAGGTTAGAAACGAATTAGAAATGAGTTTGAGAACAGTTAGCTGTGTGGAACAATTGAGCCTGACTTTATGTGGATGTGTGGTTCTCTCCGGTACCTTGTCCAAGAAATTCCTCCATCTTGTCTTTGAAAGGTTGTAGATTATCCTCATGGGACACTTTGCACACCTTTTCCACTTCTGATGTACATGCTGATTAGAAAAACCAAGGACAAATAATTGGACTTAAGTTTAGATTAGAGAACGATTAGGATGAGGCCAGCATTTCTTCAGCTAATAGACTTTAGTGTGTTACTTCTTAAGTCTTTCTGGAGCCGCATCAGGTCTTTCTGGAAATCTTCAAACTTGAGCTGTGAGGCCTGGAACAGGTCATGGGGCTCAGGCAGAGGATACACACAACTTTCCTTTCCAGCATCCTTGTGACGGGGACACAAACAAAACAGTTTTAAAGCAAAGTCCAAATCAAATGCAAATATCTTATTTTAACCATCAAATAGATAAGTGGTGGAAGACTAAATGCTTGACCAATAAAGTAAGTGCATTGTGTAGAAATGTGTAAATACAACACACGCACACATGTATACACATGTATATGCACACACACACATGGGATAGACTATGTGTCATGTTGGCTTTTTTTTTCTGTGATGCAGATCATCACAAAATGTAAAAAACTCCATATTAAATGTACAAATGACAGAAAGATTTTGGGATTTACAGCAAAAAGTGATCACAGTGGGAATAAGTGAAGAATGGGAGGAAGTTTACCTCATCAAAGTGTCTGAGGTAGTAAGCAACGATGTAAGACAGCAGACTTTTTACACTGTCCTGCATGTGGAGAGAAAAACACAGGAGTGTGGAACATTTAGTTACAGAGCTGTACACTGGTCACCCAGAGCTGGTTTCTGTAATTTACATTCATTAAAAACTATACATTGTGCAGAAATTGAAGGCCAGGCCAGTTTTATTTGGAGCAGAATTTATACACAAGGCAATTCAAAACGCACTACATCATAAAATCCCAAAAGGCAAATAAAAACATTAAATTTAAAAAATGCAATGAATGAATTCATTTGAAAGGGAAGAGCGCAGATAAAATATTGCGTTTATATTAAGGATTTTTCCTCTATGTCCAGTTTTCCTTTTGGTCTTCAGTTTACCTCCCGTTTACCTCGTTGGTTTACCTCCTGCTTTTCTATGCTGTTTTAATCTAAATTTCCATTTAGGTGATTTCCCTCTTGTGTACACAGGCCCTCAGTTTTGTTCCCCTCACTCGATTTTATGCTGTTGCATTTCTGTTACTCATTGGTTGCATCATTTATTTGCTTTCATTGCGTTTATTTGCTTTTGCCATTGTGTGCCTACAATTTTCCACAGAACAAATCATTTAGTTCTAAAGGAGCAAAAAACATTAAAGCAGTTTCATTTGCGGGAGCTGCCTCCACTCTACTCACACTGCTCTTGACATCTTTGAGCTTTGGCAGGATGTCGAGCGTGAACCCGTCTGCTTGACCTCGAGTTCGATTGCCTCCGTTCATGAAATTCCCAAATGCCAGAACCAGACCAAGAATATTTTTCACGGTCTCAGTGTCCTGCAGTACCTGAAAAAGAGAAAAGATTTCTTTAAACAAATCAAGAGAAACACAACAGACACACACAATCAAAGAAATAACATTTCAGAGCATTTAGTGCTTCTCATTAGCTTTATGTGGAGTTGTGAAAAGTACGTTTTCACCAAAGGTTTTATGTATCACTACATGAGAATGCATAGAGCCATTGTTTAAGTTAGGTAAAGGCAACTTTGATTAACTGCTAAATTCAACAAATAACACACTGAGATTATTCATTCAACAAAAGCTAAGCCAAACGGCAGAAGCAGTCTGCTTTACTCCACGTTTGCTCCATGATTTACAGACACTTTTGGTCTCTTATTTAGTAATGAAAGATTTGTTTAACTATTCACCTGCATTTCTTTTACTGTTGGCCAGTTTCTGTTTACAGTGTGGACAGTGTGTTCTTCACTCACCTTGCAGACTTTCTGCAGCGTATCCAGCTTTCTGGTGATGGATGACATACACTCAGAGAAACTGGACTGAAAAAGGATGCAAAAGACTCTACCGGAGAAGTTTGGGATCAGGGAAAGTTGGTGGAGGAATCTGCAACACAAAAAAGAGGAACAGCATTTAGGAACTTTTAAATATGGTTCTTTTGCCCATCAGAGTGAATTTTATCTTCTTATTCTATTACTTTTTAGTCCACGAGGTTTTAATAACTTCAGAAAACAGACAGCTGAAATTCTTAAACAATCAATAATCTCATTTAATCAGCCAACTCCTACAAGTTGAAGATTTTCAGTGTACTGTGAAATGAAAAGCTTCTCTCTTGACTTTCCCCCCTGTGGATGATGTGAGTCATTACATTGGGAAAGGCTAAATATGATGAAATGTAAATAAAACAAAACATTTGTGAATGTAAACATTCTTTTTTAATTCTATACTATTTATAATACTCTTTTCATTATCCATTATATTGATAGAAACAACAGAGTGGATTCTGTTAATGATATCCTGCTATAGATGGTTTTATTTAATTCAAACGTGAATTTTGTGTGTTTCCGGTTGGTTGCATCATATTTAGCACAAACTTGATTCAGATAATATTAGCCCTGCAATTGTGTTTTTAAAACCGAAGACAGACACCCTGAGATAATGAGATGAACAGTTTTAAATGTCTGAGGAATGCTATGATCTCACAGCTAAAGCCGGTCTCTGACTCTATGTGGACTGAGCGTGTGTGTGTTCAGGAGAGTTCCCTCTGACTAAACTAGTTCCTGGAGCTGAAGTGGTGAGGGAAGGCTTACTGTTCGGGTTTGTCCAGAGGCTTGTCTTTGGCAGACTTGATGTGCTTTTCAATTTTGTCCAGCTCGTCCTGTTGTGCCCTCTGTTGGATGGACAGATGGATTCTCATTTATCAGAGTCATGGTAGTGCATGAGTACAAGAAAACTTTACTTCTTTACTGCTTATTATCAAAAAAGGACCAAACAGTGGTTTGTTTTAGTCTTGTAATCTGAAACACTCATGTGTTTCCAAAATATCAATGGGGCAGGATTTGGTCCTTTTCCTGGCAGCACATCCCAGCAGGAGGCTTTCTGTGCTCCCTAATGGATGTGTGTATGAGTGAGTGAGAGATCAATTGTCGGGAGCATGCAGGAGGCAGCCAGTGGATCAGAAACCACACCACCACCATCACTGTTGTTTTGTGATAACATCTTTAAACAAGCAGACGTTGTCTCCTTAATGTGTTCTGTGTGAGTTCTGCATGCATCTGTACGTATTCACACAATGGCTGCTTAGGAAGTGGGTACCATCACATGTACATTTAGATTAAGTAACAGCTAGAGACTAACTATTTAACTAAAGCCCAATCTTTGTCAAGAGCAGAATTGAATTATTGATCAAAGCATGTCCAACGCTGCAGTACTTTGGACTTTTTGATAAAATGTTGATGATTTACTTTTTTAATCTCTTTCTGTTTGTGAAGATCATCCATATTATAGCTACAGCATAGATGGCTGAATGCTGTGTGAATGTTTGGGAAGATCATCCTCCTATGATCCACACAGTGTGCACACTCACTCATAGTTAAATATAGAATCACCAATGAATCTGAGATGGTTGGTTGGGGGAAGAGGAACCCAGAAATTGGTGCACTGACAAGTTTGTTCCACTCAGAACCTGAGCCAGCTGTATTTCCTCTGAGACTTACTGTGAAGGCCACTCCACTAAGACTAAACAGACCGGACTATGGAGGTTTTCAGGTTTCAAATCAAACCTTACAACAGAGTAAACTGACTGGGGGGAACGAGGCTCACATTTTCATACAGCGCCTGCAGAGTCTCAAGATCAACTACAGTGTTGTCCAGGTTTAGGATGGCTGAAAAACACAAACAAAGAGACAAAGAGAAAAATGTTTTACACTTCAAATTCCAAGCTGTTATCAATTCATTTCACAAACAATTATTGAAATACCAAAGTTCACAGTAGCAGAAGCTTCTGGCGGGTAACCATGGCACTGCCCTGGAAACCTTCTCAGACACCAACAAACTACAGTTATACGTGCCATTCTCAATTCTGAAACAGTGGATCACACTATAGTTATGACACACTGGCTATGAAGTTCACCCTGACCCTAAACCAGAGAGCGTCAGTTTAAAACCCTCCCACTATCACGATCAAGAGTCTTTTCCCCAAAGGTTCAAGCCCTCCCAATCCGTAGTTTTAAAAGAAACAAGATTACATTGTTTTTTTCAAGTGTCCATCAGCAGCAGAAACAGTCAGTAAAGGAAAAATACACACTCCTGCTCTTCATCCTATTGGTCATCACAGATCTCTGACAATGTGTGGTAGGGATGCAAAACCCCCTCCACTAACCTTACTAACAGTCTGCAGGATCTTGTAGATCTTACAAGTCCACATTGGGACAAAAATCCTACATCTAATCTTGTGATGACCAGCTCCTGTTAGCTGAGACTGAATGCTGACTGGTGTGAGAATCTGATAGGAGAAGAAGCTGTGTCCAGTTAAAGGGTTATCAACCAGCCTCCCCCAGATGTCCAAGAGCCTCAGAAAAACGGACTGGCTAGATGTCCAAGGGTGTTTGTCAAAATCCAGACATCCATCTCTCCCCTACACAACAAAGACAGTGTCCGGCCATGGCCGGCCAGACCTGTGGAGCTATTTCTGCTGGACATAGCTATTTCTGCTGGACAGAGCTATTTCTGCTGGACAGTGCTATTTCTGCTGTTCTGTGACTTCTGAGAGCTGAACAGGCTCGGATAAAGGTCGCTCTTTTCTTCTGCGTCCTGCATCCTTAACAGCATAGCTCTAGGGCGGCCACTCTCTGGACACCGTTAATGGGCACTGGTGTGTGTCCCAGGCTGCTGCCCCATCCTCAGCATGTGTCAGCGGAGCGGCGAGAAATGAGATTCCTGAGAGTCTGGAACATCGTTTTTTACAGTAGAGGTTCAGTTGCTTTTGGCCACAGTCGTCCTAAAGAAGCCCTGTCTGGATTTCCTTTGTGATTAAACTGGACTGCTAAGCACAGCCCAAATGTTAACTCCACACAATTCTCAAATATCAAAGAAGTCTTATGTATGAAAAAGGTTGTGCAGAGCCACTCTGTCTGGCACACAGTAGGACTGGTCCCTGTTTAGGATCAGTTCCACCAAATGTGGAAGCCTGGTTTGTAGTTTGCACATAGTAAAGCTGCAGGGTTTCTGTGTTTCTGTACAGTCAGATCTCCTTTTTGGCAAGAGTGAAAGGTCTGCATGATGACAGGTGCTGGGTAACAAACCAGTTTTTCCACCTCCAAAAGCAACTCTAAAATCTGCATCCAACCCAGGATCCCTCTGGCATACAACAGAAGATAACTCCTCCGTGAACATGGTGTGATCATGCAGCTCTTTCTCCATCACTCCCCCTGTCTGAGGGGGTCCACATAGACACCCAGGGCTTTCTGTCTCCTGCTAACAGGGTCGGTCGTCAGTGTCAGGGGGGTGGAGACACAACATCTGCTTTGTCTGAGAGACTGGTCTCTCCAGATGAAAGGAAAAAAAGTGGAAGCATCCGTGTCCCTAACACTAAGCCTCGACCCAACTGTCGAACACGTCCACAAAAACCACCTGGATGTTCAGTACTGAGCCCTCCAGAAGATGCTTAGTGCCAGCAGCCTTTAAGGCCTTTGGAAAAGCTCCAGAGGGCAGAGTAGTTATCTGAGTGCATTTTGAATGCCTTGAACTTTGTCATCAAAGAATTTTGCAAACTCATGACATTTAGATGCAGAAACTAATGAGCCTGGAGGGTTTGTTAGTCTGCTAACTGCCTTTTTCTCACACCTGCAGATATTTCCAGGTGCCCGTTACCTGTTCATCACCAGGTGATTCCACCTGACCAGTCTCTGCCAGTATTCCCACAGATATGTCCAGTTGGAAGTTTCTAAGAAAGCTACTCAGTAAATTCTCATGTTTTCAGATTGGCTGCCCTCAGCTATCACAGTTTATAATAACTCCTCCGCTAAATCACTTACATCAACATTTAATTTCCCTCTGGTGTAACTAAAGTATTTTCTAATTGAAATCAACTGTGACAAATAATAATAGGTCAATATTTGGCTGTTAGTAGAGTTATTGTTCAGAATATAGAATTTCTTTTGATCAGACATTTTTACATAATGACAAACACTTTACAACTCCTTCAACATGAGCTACTCACCATGCTGGATGTCTTTCATGTCCAGGTGCAGAGATGACATGAGGATTCCTACTGCCTGAGATCTTTTGTTATTAAGGAGCTTTGCAACCTTAGAGAAAAGTAGATCCAACAAGAGTGGATAAGTTATCCTTTCATGACAGTGAGTAACTATTGTTTTACAATATTTAAACCACATTAAGTTGCATAATGATTGTAAGAAACTTCAAATTAAAGCATAAGCCCATGTGAAGCTCTGAATATCTCAGACAGTTCTGGAAGTCTTTTCTGCCTGGCTGCTCTCACATGAATGTTTTTGTGGCAATTTCTGAATTAAATCAAATTATTCTCGTTTCAAGATAAGAGAAACCTTTTCAGATTTGTCTTTGGAGTTTAAAAGATGGAAAAGGCCAACGAAACAAACATACCTGCTTTGCCTTGGATTTGGTTATAGTCTCAGACAGAGGCTGCTTCTTCTCCTTCACCGCCGTTTTGGAGAATAATTTCACAAACTCATCAAAGTCCACGTTGGGTTCCTCAACTATCTCCCACACCAGAGAAGACGAGATCTCCCTAAAAAACACACCAGCACTCATATCGTGAAAATCATGCTTCCCAGAACCCCTTATGATGAAGGTCTGGGTTACTGATTTGTTAATCTGTAATGGGGTCAGACACAGGCTGTATTTTTATGACAACTCTTCCCCAAATGAAGAGACTACATGTTACTATCGTTACTTTTTGGTGTGGAGCTGGATCCTGGTCCAGTAGAGGGGCTTCATGGGTCTGGGGGGCTCCACGGCTGCTTTCCGTGGTGGTTTCTCCTGAGTCAGGCCCAGAGAGTACAGACCCAGCGGCAGTGGGGGAGGCAGGTGACCCAGAGCTCCTGTCAAACCCGGAGGAACACAGCCAGCTCCTGGGGGAGGGGGGGGAGGAGGAGGTCCGCCGCTAGAAGGTGGGGGTGGTGGAGGTGGAGGGGGTGGAGCTAGGCCACCTGGGAGAGGAGGCGGTGGGGGAGGAGGAATGGCTGAACCAGGTAAAGGAGGTGGAGGAGGAGGTGGAGGAGGAAACGCTGAACCAGGTAATGGAGGAGGAGGTGGAGGAGGTGGAGGAAAAGTTGAACCAGGTAAAGGAGGAGGTGGAGGAGGAGGAGGAATATCTGAACCAGGTAATGGAGGTGGAGGTGGAGGAGGAGGAAAAGTTGAACCAGGTAATGGAGGAGGAGGTGGAATTTGTCCTAAATGAAAAGGTGGAGCACTTTCTGGATGGCCATTTGGGGGGGGGTGCTGGAGCTTACAGGGACACTCAAAGCCAGCCTGCTCACTAGAAGGCACGTGGAACTTAAAGCTGCTGTCCATGGGGGAGGTCTGCACAGACTTGGCCTCCAGGCAGCCCAGAGCCAGAGCTGCCTCCGTCTGCAGGTGAGCGTCACACAGGTTCTTCAGCAGGCCCTCCCCCCCCCCACACTCTGTGCCGGTGGTGGCGGTTTTAACGGCGTCCTTGTCCAGCAGAGGGGTGTGTCGCTCCAGTTCAGAGATTTTAGTCCTGAGGTCTTCGATTGTTTGTTCCAGCTGCTGGATGACATTAACGTGTTTCTCCTTCAGTTTCGTTGAGGGCGTGACACATTCAGTCTGAAAAAAGATATAACCAAAGTAAGATAAAGACAAACCGACAACAGAAAGTACATTTGCAGAGGATTAAAGTGGAAAACTATGAAAAAAGAAGAAAAAAAGAAGAAAGGGATTAGCAGAAAAAGTCAAATCTGAACATGAATTTCTAAATAAATCATTCTTGACATAAAGTAAATTAAGCTGTAATTCCTGCACAATAAATGTATTAAGTTTGACAATTTGTGAATCAAATCTGTTGGACGTGATTGTGACACGTCAAATGAGAAACATTAAAGCAACTGACCTCTGACCTTTCCTCCTTCTCTGGTTCCTTCAAATCCAAAGTGACTGTGTGGTGCTCTGAAATAAATACACACCAATATAACACAGGGCACAGGGATTTGTATGTTTTAATAAAACATACATACAAAATCAAAAGTCCCTGCAGGTAATATAGTTATATAGTAATAGGATATGTCTGAGTGTACTCTTTACCTGCCCCTGTGGATTTAAGTCCGGTTCGGTTTTCTCCACCTGGCCTGACTGGAGGCCAGAGGCCCCTGATGTGGGTCGATAGTTTTCCCTCTGGAGGATCCAGGGAATGTGGAGGCTGGCTGACCGCTGCCCAGGTATACAGCTGTTCATGCTGTAGAGACAAACGTCTGTCAAACGTTCATTTTTCAAACAAAAAGGATTTATTCTCATGCACATTATGTGTCGTGATCAAGAACTTAATTACATGGTGAGTCTGACATTTTAATACAATCATAATATGATTGAGGACTGGTTACTGTGAAAATTGTTTTGCACAGTTGAAACCACCTGAAACGAGCCAGGTCCCTGTAGCCGATGTGAAGCCATTAAGAGAGGCAACACCAGTTAGTTATTATTGGATGTCTCCTTCCCAAGTCTTTGTTAAGAAAGGACCAGATTGGTGATCATCTTACAGACGTACTCTGTCTCTCACAGACCCGGCTGCAGACGGAGGCTCGGGTTAGCATCAGTGAATCTACTCTCTGTAACTACTGATGTTCACATTCCTGGAGCCACAGGCTGAGGAGGAGGAACAGCAGCTTTCCTAAAATCAGGATTAGGCTACTAATCAATCCTAGACCAAAGGTCATAGTTTGAGATTTTTAAATCTCTGACTCAGTTATTCTCATCCTAAGTGTAAATCAGGTTTTGTTGTTTCTTATTTTTTGTCTGAATTCTCAGAATTTTTCTCTCTTTTTGTGCCGAGTACAGATAGAGTTATTGTAGTGGGTGATTATTCATTTAGATGTTTAAACTTCAATTCCACATTTGATTTGGTTCGTTTTTCTTAAACTGTACGCAGTCCTACACACTCTGATTCTTACTCTGATCCGGTGCTGACTTGGGACATTAACGGTGAACAGTTAACGGTGTTGTCTCATAATCCTGACTTATCTGACCGTTTTTATAAAACTTCCTCTAAGCCATCGACCTGTGTTTTAGACCCAATCCCAACCAGACTTTTCAAGAAGATGGTCTAAGTCAAACATAAAAAAAGGTGTTTCAGGTGCAGTTTCATACTTCAAACTTGGCTGCTGCTGTGGGGGTGATGTGGGAGGGGCTGCCCCCCAGCGGCTCTCTGAAGCAGTCTGAGAAAGGCAGCAGGAGGCCCATGGCCAGGATCCGGGAGCAGAACCTCTCAGCTTCCTCTGGCTCCTCCGGCTGCCTCTGCTGCAGAAACAGCTTCTCCAGAAGAGTACGGCCTGAGCAGAAAACAAGACACTTTCACAACCAGAACTACTCTTTTCATACGTATACAACAAAGAAGTCTCCAAAAGAGTACGGCCTGAGCAGAAAACAAGACACTTTCACCACTACAACTACTCTTTTCATACGTATACAACAAAGAAGTCTCCAAAAGCAACATTAAAAGATAAATGGACTGGTTTACGTATCACTTTTGTAACTGAGCTGACCACTTAAAGGGCTAACCTCACTCCTTCAAATACAGTATTAATATAATATATTGCTGGGACATTTGCACGTAAATGGAGTCATCAAAAAGCAACATGGGGTTAAGCAACTCGTCCATGGACACTTATAGACAAGGGAGTTGGAATCAAACGTTTCTAAATGGAAGTAGATCAATACCAACATTGGTTCTGAATCTTATGAAATTAACACCTAATCCACATTATCCATTGCTTCATTGTTACTGAGTAGGCTAAAAACTCTGTTGGATCTCAAACTAATTAACATGAAAAAACACCTTGCCAATTTTAAGATTGACCTTATTGAAAGTAATAGCTCTATTTGAGTAAATATTCTATTATTAATGCTATGAAATGTGTATGAGAAAGAAAGAAACAAGTTACAGCATTTAGCCTCCAGTCATGTCAGGCCTTTTTAAAACTTTTGCTATGAATTTAGATTTTAAAACACAAAAATGCCTTTAATGGGCAAAAACAGATTTAATTTTTTTATATAAAACTAAACAAGAATATTTTTTAAGTGCTTAGGGGTCTCATTGGTTTGATTAGATGTACAAAGCATTTACAGTGTATTATTCAAAGAGCCATTAAACAATTCAAACAACCTTTGCTCTTTGCTTACCTGTAAAGACGTCCTGAAAGCCACACAGAGAGACCTGTCCACAGGAAGATCTTCTGGTGGCACAGATGGGCTGACTGCCTCCTCCTCCGTAGCCCAACAGATACTCTCCTGAACCTCCTGCAGCTTCCTCTCTGCTCCTCAGCCTCCTCTCCAGCTCCTCCGTCCAGTCAGCGGAGCGGCTCAGAGGGCTGGCCAGGCTGCGGGAGCGCTGCCGGCGGGCCTGGCCCTCCACCAACGTCCTGCTGGCATTCACAGGGGCTTTACTCCCAAACACACCTCCACATCTTTACACTACTGATGGCATTCATAAATAGATTTAATTCATTCTCCATCTAAATCTAAAAAGAGAAATGTTTCCCCAAAATGTAAAATGGATACCTTGAGGTCACAGTTACAAGATGAACAGAATAGATTTGATGGTAAATGGTAATTGTTAGTGGTGTGCTTGACAGCAAGATTACACCAGTCCATGTCTGGGTGCGTTCAGGAGGCTCTAAAGTGTCCGGGTCACCCTGCTGACCACTGCATGGGTCTACTGTAAACCCTGTGTGACCAACATGCTACGATAATGAATGGAACACCATTTTTACCAGCCTGACCACAGCCACCAAGAAGGCAATAGGTGTCCCGGGTCAGAAAATCCAGGACCTGCTCATCCACCAACAGAAATGAGTGGCAGAGCATTTAATCCAGAATGAAAAAGAATCCAAGATATCCTCCAAAGAATACACAGACCTCCTAAATGACCCCAACAAGCACTCAGACGGATCCAAGGCTTTGAGCACACCCTAAAGCAGACATTATGACCTCCTACCAAAGAGCGGTAGGAGGTGAGGAACACAATTAAGGACTCCTCATCCTCATCATGGTCTGTTCCACAGAGGTTCCCCAGCCGGGGGAGCAGAACCAGGTTCTTAAACACCAGAAACTCTCAGGCCATTAGACTGTTCAACTCCTCTGGTCTGAGATGGGCTCGAGTTCAATACCTGCACGGCTGCTGGGAGAACAGTTTATATTCAAATAGACTATCTATTAACCACCAGCAGTTTTTGGAGTCGGTTCCAAAAAGTTGTTTACATTCCAGCAGTTTCCAACCAGATTTGTTTAGGTGCCTAAAGTTGAAGACACAATGCAGGGAGCCCAAAACCACCATGTTGGGGGTTTCTGTTTTTGTTCATTTTGTTTCTTGTGTTTCGTTTCCTGTTTTATTTTGTGCACTAATTTCCTGTGTCCTTGAAGACAAGCTGCTAAGGTTTTTTCTGTAAATCAACCTCTCCACACCCTAACATTATCCATCTGTTAACGTTAGGGTGAGGAGAGGTTCACATACACGTGGTATCTGAATCATGAGATATTTGGGATTGCTGGTGGATGTCACGCTGGTGTTTTCTAGCTTTCACAATCAACATTTACACTAATAAAGATAGTGGTACTATGGCTGGTGTCTTGTCAGGTATTTGTGTTTTTTATACGGTACATAGAGTGTCTTTTTTTTAAAATGGTGACCTCATTTCTTATCTTTGGAGGTCCATTCTCAATGGAAGGAACAAAGTCAGAAGACTTGTAGAAAGTACACGTTCATGAATTTAAAGTGTCACCTATTCAAACATGCCTTAGGTAAATGAAAAAAATGAAAAAAGAACAACAGAGACTTCAGTTTTCCATGCAGTCGGGTACCTGTGGAGGTGGTGCTGGGACCGGCGGGGGGAGAGCGGGCTGTGGGAGGGGGACAGGGCGGGGGAGTGCCCCGGGGAGCTCAGCTGTCTGGTGGTGGTCTTGATGTAGGAGGGGAAGATGGGGGGGTAGGGCTTCACGGCGGGGCCGGAGCAGTGGGCGGACCTGAGCAGCTCTTTGGCCCGGCGGGGGCTCTCCTGGCTGATG